TATCCTCTCTTCTATTTTTCTGTCTCCAGACGCTGCCACGTTCAATATCCAGACCTTTTTGTCTTTCTTATCGACAATTGTTAAGTTTGCTGTGTTGTGTGGCAGGTGCCTGCTTGTTTGAATTCCAAAGTCCCAGAGCAGCTCATGAATAACAGAATAACAGCGTGGGAAGGGACCTTATAGGTCATCTAGTCCAACCCCCCACCCAAGCAGGAGACCCTTACATCATTTCTGACAGATGGCAGTCCAGTTTCTTCTTGAAAGCCTCCAGGGATGAAGCTCCCACAACTTCTGGTGGCAAGCTGTTCCATGGGTTGATTGTTCTCACTGTCAGGAAATTTCTCCTTATTTCTAGGTTGAATTTTTCCTTGTTCAGTTTCCATCCATGATTCCTTGTCTGGCCTTTGGGTGCTTTGGAGAATAGCTTGGTCCCCTTCCTCCTCTCTGTGGCAGCCCCTCAAATATTGGAAGATGCTCTCCTGTCTCCCCTGGTCCTTCTCTCCACTAGACTAGCCAGGCCCAGTTCCTGCAACCGTTCATCGTACATTTTAACCTCCAGCCCCCTCATCATCCTGGTTGCTCTTCTCTGCACTCTTTCTAGAGTCTCAACATCTTATTTATTTATTTGTTTGTTTGTTTGTTTGTTTGTTTGTTTGTTTCCATTTCTATACCGCCCTTCTCTAAATAGGACTTTTTTATAGTATAGGGACCAAAACTGGATGCAGTACTCCAGGTGTGGCCTTACTAAGGCTTTATAGAGTGGTATTAGTACCTCCCTTCCTTAATCTTGATTGAATCTTTCTGTTAATGCAATTTAGCTTCTCCTTCTTTCTATCACTTTCTCAATTTCATGGTCCTACCAATTCTTGCTTGCCGGCAACAGCTTCTTTCTTGGAGATCTTCCAATGCACCTTTTGTTGCTACTTGGTCATGCCGTTGTTTGCAGTCAGTCTGGGCGATCCTGCGGCTGCTGAGGAGGTGATCCACTGCTTCTTTGCAGAGGCCACACTTGTTGTGTGTTGCTGTCTTCCCATTTTTTGGGGGTTTTCTGTGCAGCCAGAATTCGCGCCTCGGTCTCTTTCTTCAACTTTCCTGCTCTTAGCCATTGCCAGGTCTTCTTGTTATCTGTTTTTCCTGCTATTTTTTTTTTTATGTATTGGCCATGTGGTACTTTGTCTTCTCATATCTCCTTTCTCTTCTTCTTCATTTGATCTTTCTTGTAGGCCAGTTTCGTCTCTCCAGTAGCACAGGAAGTCTTCAACTTACAACAGTTCGCTTTGTGACCGTTTGAAGTTACAATGGCACTGAAAAAAATGACTTTATAACCATTTTTCGCACTTTTTTAAAAAAAAAACAATTTGATTTATATGCCGCCCTTCTCCGGAGACTCAGGGCGGCTTACAATGTGTTAAGCAATAGCCTTCATACTTTTGTATATATTTATACAAAGTCAGCTTATTGCCCCCACAAACTGGGTCCTCAATTTACCTACCTCAGAAAGGATGGAAGGCTGAGTCAACCTTGAGCCTTGTCGAGATTCGAACTTACAGTAATTGCAGACAGCTGGTGTTAATCACAGTGCTATCAGTCTGCTGAGCCACCAGGCCCACTTATACCACCATTGCCGCATCCCCATGGTCACATAATCAAAATACAGCTACTTGTTGTGACCCAGGCCCACATAGTTAATATTAAATGCAAAACAGTTCCAAAAATAGGGTTGCCAGGTCTGCTTCCAAAAAATAGCGGACAAGCAGGGGCGGGTGGGTGGGTGGGTTAAGTAGTAAAAAAAAAAAAAACATTTTACAATTAAATTATATATTTTCTTACAAACATTTTAACAGGGAGTCTTTAACAATGAAATCAACGAATTGATTCGCTTGTTGCTGGAAGCTCTTTTCTCCTTCTCTAAATGATTTTTTTGTGCTTGCATGCTGTGTGACAGCTTTTATACCATTATATTCAATTGTGAACGATTTCTGACACAATTTACAGTAGGCCGCCGTATTTGTTCTGTCGGTTTCGTTGTTGGTAATCCATGCAAAAGTAGCTTCCCAGTCTTTGGTGTATTTGCACACTCCTCTCTTTCGTTTGAAAGAATTCGAAATCTCGCCGCTGTCACTCTCATCACTCGACGCCATTTTAGGTCAGTCGACACAAACTACAATACATTTTAGAAATGTGAACTGTACATAATTTTATAATATATTTTTATTTTAATCTCATCATTAATTTTTTCGGAGAATTGAGTTCAATGGATATTCGATCTTTGTCTCATTCTAACTTATGAAAAAAAAAGACAAAACGAGATTCTCCTATCCTTATTCTCTTTGACTGTACAGCTTTAGATTATGTACCATTTCATCATAAAGCTTTTGAATAAAAAAAATGTCCACTATTTTGTGAAAAAAAATAGTGAACATAATGTGAAAAAAGCGGACTGTCCACTCAAATAGTGGACACCTGGCAACCCTATCCAAAAAACAAACAGATTTTATTAAAACAGCTGAGAATTAACTCATTCTCAGCTTATTCCAAATGAAATGAAAGCAAAGTCCTCAAAACACCATTCCTCAGTTTATCTCTGACCTTGGGACAATTAGGCAAACTGCCAAAGGCTTTTCTTGGCAACAGTTCAGGAACAGAAGACGCTGACAAGAAAGAAATACAGCCAAACACGAAGCAAATCTCTCAACGGTTGTTTTCCGGCAAAGAGACCAAGAGCCCTTGCTGGTCTTTTAAGCCTTATGGGAGGGGCCAATCATCTCTTGGCCCTACTCCCGAGTCGTCCTCGTTGTTGTAGCTGCTCTTGCCTTCTGGCAGCTCTTCTCATACATGCACTAGGAACAGGCTCCTCCTGTTCCTCTGCCTCTCTACTGTCAGCCTCTGGAGGCTCCGGAGTCCGCACATCACTCCCCGATAGCCCTGGTCCCATCTCTGCCTCCGACGCAGAGCCCTCATCCGGGCCTTCCCCAGCCTCCAGGACTGGCCCATGTTCTTCCTCAGCTTCATCGCTGTCCGACTCCGCTGCCAGCTCTGTAGGCTGCTGGCGGACCACAACACCACTTAGCAACTGCTTCATATTTATGACAGTCGCAGCGTCCTCGGGTTATGTGATTCCCTTTGGCGACCTTCTGACAAGCCAAATCCACGGGGAAGCCGGATTCACTTAATACCTTCACAACTGCAATGATTCACTCAACAACTGTGGCAAGAAAGGTCGTAAAATGGGGCAAAGCTTGCTTAACAAATGTTTCGTTTAGTAAGCTAAATTCTGGGCTCAATTGTGGTCGTACATTGAGGACTACCTGTATACCTTCCTGGCATACTGCCCTGTTTCCCCGAAAATAAGACCTCTCTGGATAATGGTTGCAGCCCTTTCTGGACCGGACGCCCTGCGCACGGTCACTCACGCCCTTGTTACCTCCCGGTTGGACTATTGTAATGCTCTCTACATGGGGCTCCCCTTGAAGAGCACTCGGAGGCTCCAGCTGGTCCAGAATGCGGCCGCGCGGGTGGTTATGGGCGCAACTCGTTGTGCCCATGTGACACCCCTCCTGCGCGAGCTGCACTGGCTCCCAGTGGTTTTCCGGGTGCGATTCAAGGTGTTGGTTACCACCTTTAAAGCGCTCCATGGCATTGGACCCGGGTACCTTCGAGACCGACTTCTGCCACCAGTAGCCTCCCACAGGCCAGTCCGCTCCCACAGAGAGGGTCTCCTCAGGGTGCCATCGGCCAAGTTATGTCGGCTGGCGACACCCAGGGGGAGGGCCTTCTCTGTGGGAGCCCCAGCCCTGTGGAATGAACTGCCCCCGGAAATACGTAAGATCTCCGACCTCCGGGTGTTTCGCTGCGCACTGAAGACCCTGTTGTTCCGCCAGGCCGGGCTATCAACATAATAGTTTTAAATTGGGGTATTTTAAATTTCTGGGGTTTTAATTGAGTCGAATTATTTAATCATTTTAAATTTTAATTGCTGTTTTGTCTTGTGTTTTTAAATAGGCTGTACACCGCCCTGAGTCCTTTGGGAGAAGGGCGGTATAGAAATAAAATTATTATTATTATTATTATTATTATTATTATTATTATTATTATTATTATTATTATTATTATTGGTATTGTTTTTGTTGTTGTTACTTCTACTTCTTTAATATTTCTTCTACCGCTGCTACCCCTCCTCTCTGCCCACACAATGACTTTTATTCTGGCCTTCTAAATCCGAAACAATGAACGCAAAACTCCAATTGATTTATTGCATCCTATCCTGAAATCAATGAATGGTTCAATATTCCCGAATTGCTAAACCTTGGCAATTCTACAATGAAGAAACTTCTTCCTTTTTTTTCAAGCCTCTCCTTCTCTCCATCTCTTTTTCTTGGAGGCCCGGAGTTAGGTTAGGTTAGGTTTATTAAATTTGTATACCGCCCTTCTCCCGAAGGACTCAGGGCGGTGAACAAAACTAGGACATATATAATTTTCTTTGCAATCTGATAAAACTGATTGGAAGAATTAGGTTAATTCGATACAAAACCATTCTGGGGAAATCTAATTTCTATACGTCAGTGTTTCTCAACCTCTGCAACTTTAAGATGGGGAGACTTCAACTCCCAGAACTCCCCAGCTAGCGCTGCTGGCTGGGGAATTCTGGGAGTTGAAGTCCCCCTCATCTTAAAGTTGCAAAGATGGAAAAATACTCAGAAAAACTCAGGATTCTGGGAACTGGAATAAAACCGATTTATTAAAAATGGGACTAGCAGAGTCCTGCATTTTTTTTTCCTCGATACCCTAAAATTAACATGGCGCTCTGCCTACGCTAATCAGGCCAATTAAATCGTTTTGATGCTCCCATGATCTGAAACTCAGTCCGTTACGCAAGTTACAGAAATGGGTCAGAGGTGATCATCCAGCCGTATCCTTTCCTCAGGATGGTTTACGGAGTCCCCAGCCTCCCTCTGAGGTTTTGACACCTGCCAATCTGTGCCAAGAAACGGGTCACTTACCTCTTCTTGGTAGGGGTACCTTCGGCGGCTCTCTTGTCCTGGCCGGCCGCCGGCGGAGTCTCCCGAGGACTCGGCTTCTTGGTCCCCATAAGAGGAACCATCTCCTTGATGTCTTTGATCATGGTTCTAGGTGAAAAGAAACTCGGTTAGTGACCATTGTCTGCAGGTCTTCGGCTCATGGATTCCATTGAATCGGATCGGGTTGAATTGAACGGATTGGATCTTTTTTTTTTCATCCTACCTTTATCCGTTTATTGGTCATCTCCAAGGAGGCGAACGTACCTAATGCTTCTACGTCTATCTATTTTCCCCACAAAAACAACAACCCTCTGAGGTGGGCTGGGCTGAGAGAGATTGACTGGTCCAAATTCACTCACCTGGTTTCCATGCCTAAAGCAGGGATAGAACTCACCGTCTCCTGGTGATGGCCCCAAAGTCACCCAGCTGGCTTTCATGCCTAAGGTGGGACTAGAACTCACCGTCTTCTGCTGATTGGTTCTAAGTCACCCAGCTGAACTAGAACTCCAAGTCTCCTGGTGATTGGCCCAAGGTCACCCAGCTGGCTTTTGTGTCTAAGGCAGGACTAGAACTCACCGTCTCCTGGTGATTGGCCCAAAGTCACCCAGCCAGCTTTCATGCCTAAGGCGGGACTAGAACTCCCAGCCTCCTAGTGATTGGCCCAAAGTCACCCAGCCAGCTTCCCTACCTAAGGCAGGACTAGAAGTCACCCAGCTGAACTAGAACTCCCAGTCTCCTGGTGATTGCCCCAAAGTCAACCAGCCAGTTTCCTTGCCTAAGGGAGGACCAGGGCTCCCAGTCTCCGGGTGATCGGCCCAAAGTCACCCAGCCAGTTTCCCTACCTAAGGCGGGACTAGAAGTCACCCAGCTGAACTAGAACTCCCAGTCTCCTGGTGATTGACCCAAAGTCACCCAACCAGCTTCCTTGCCTAAGGAAGGACTAGAACTCCCAGTCTCCTGGTGATTGACCCAAAGTCACCTAAGGTAGGACTAGAACTCACTGTTTCCTGCTGATTGGCCCAAAGTCACCCAGCTGGACTAGAACTCCCCGTCTCCTGGTGATTGGCTCGAAGTCACCCAGCCGGCTTTCATGCCCAAGGCGGGACTAGAACCCAAACTCTCTGAGTTCCTAGGCCAGCAACTTAATTGGCTCTCTTCTTAACATCACGCTCAAATTCACCCACATAATGGCATTGGTGTCTCCAGGGCATAGTCGAAAAGATCAAGATGGCCTCCCCAGTGATGTCATCAAAGGTTTCGATGCACCAACACGGTCGGACGCCATCTTGACTAATTTTGGATCATTCTCTGTGGCCGTACACCCCCCCCCATGTGATTAAGTCAAAATAAATAAAACTCAACAGGTTATGGAAACGCTGGCGGTTTATTATACCCGCCATCGCTTATTTCATTTCACGTCTATCCTCTGCCCTTCCTTAAATGGCTCGGGGCACTTTATATTAAAATTGAACTAATTTAATTGCATTAAATTAAACACCTTTTCGGAGCACCGAAGCAGAGGAATGAATAAAAAGCCAGAAGACGCATACAATCCAAAGGGACAAGAATAACCTTTATTTATTTATTTGTCATTTTAAACTGGGGCCAAATTAATATATATTCTTTTAATTGTTCTTAATGTTTGTATTGTATGTTTTTATCTGGCTGTACACCGCCCTGAGTCCCTCGGGAGAAGGTGCGGTATATAAATTTGAAATAAAATAAAAAATAAATAAATAAATTATTTACTTATTTATTTTATTCACTATGAAACAAAACAACAACAACAAAAAAAAAAAACAGTCCAAACAAAATTCATTATACAGGTAGTCCTCGACTTACGACCACGATGGAGCCCAAAATTTCTGTGGCTAAGCGAGACATTTGTTAAGCGAGTTTTCTCCCATTGTACGACCTTTCTTGCCACGGTTGTTAAGTGAATCCCTGCGGTCGTTAAATTAGTCACACGGTTGTTAAGTGAATCCGGCTTCCCCCTTGAGTTTGCTTGTCGGAAGGTCGCAAAAGAGGACACTGAGACCGCCATAAATATGAGTCAGTGGCCAAATGCCCGAATTTTTATCACGTGACCCTGGGGATGCTGCAACGGTCATAAGTGTGAAAAATGGTCATAAGTCGCTTTTTCCGGTGCGGTTATAACCGCCAATGGTCACTAAACGAATGGTTGCAAGTTGAGGATAAGCTGTACTGTGTTTTTTTTTTAGTATATAGATCATGAGAATTTTTAAGGCATTCTGTACACTGGTCTTATTTCTTTAAACTTTTAAGTGCTAATATTTCTGTACAAAAAGGAAAGTCAGAAGTCACTTTTATTATATGTTTTTAAGGTATTTCTGTCACTTTATTTTGTTTTGTACATTCCCTTTTTCCTTTAGGTTTGTATTTTAATGTCAAAACTTAATAAAGATATTATTTTTTAAAAAAATGAATTAATCATATTGCACTGATGAGGTTAATTAGTTGGGTCATGAAACGTCTGCAAGAAAATAACCAAACTCAGAGAGCAGCAAGGACGCCAGTGTCGTCTCCTCCTCCTCTTCCTCCCTTTCTCCTTCTTTACTCCACAAACCCTTCTCCCCTTGAGGAGCACCCGGAGGCTCCAACTGGTGCAGAATGCGGCTGCGCGGGTGGTTATGGGAGCAACATGGCACTCCCGCGTGACACCTCTCCTGCGCGAGCTGCACTGGCTCCCAGTGGTCTTCCGGGTGCACTTCAAGGTTTTGGTTACCACCTTTAGAGCGCTCCATGGCTTAGGACCTGGTTATTTACGGGACCGCCTACTACCACAAACAGCCTCCCACCAGCCCGTATGCTCTCATAGAGAGGGGCTCCTCCGGGTGCCGTCAGCCAAGCAGTGTCGACTGGCGGCCCCCAGGGGGAGGGCCTTCTCTGTGGGGGCACCCACTATCTGGAACGAGCTCCCCCCAGAGATACGGAGGATCCCGGATCTGCGCACCTTCTGCCGCGCCTTAAAGACCTTACTATTTCACCACCGTGCTCTTAAGACCCTCCTGTTCCAGCAAGCCGGCCTGGCCTAATTTTCTCCCCTTTCTTTTAAATTTTTAAACTGAAATTTTTATTTGTTTTAAATTATTGGGATTTTTAATTGTCTTGGGCTAAATTATTTAATTTGGTTTTAAATTGTTTCTAACTTTTGTATTTCTGTATTTTATTCTGTGCCTGTTCACTGCCCTGAGTCCTTCGGGAGTAGGGCGGTATACAAATTTAATAAAACATAAACAAAACATAAACATAAACTGATGATGTTACCTAGTTGGGTCATGAAACGTCTGCAAGAAAACCACCAAGCTCAGAGAGCACCAAGCACTGCACAGTCCTCCTTCCTCTCCTCCTCCTCCTCATTACAAACCCTTATCTCTTCTAGCACTGATGCTTAATTAAATGCTTAATGCTAAAATGCTTAATAAAACATCTGCAAGGAAATCACCAGGCTCAGAGAGCACCTATCGCCCCCTAATTTCAACCTTTGAGCTACAAATATTCTCCTTTATGGGCAAATTAAAATTTGCAACTTTCAGGTTGTACTTCCTATAAAAATTCAATTACCTCCCAAGCCATTTCTTTTTTTTTTTTAAACTTTATTAAACATAAAAAGATAAAATATTAAATCAAGTACATACAAAATACATTTATATTCACCCCATAAAATAAAATGGTGGATGATCTCTGGAGGGCTCGGGACAGGGGTTGTTCCTCTGTCCTGGTCCTATTCGACCTCTCAGCGGCTTTTGATACCATCGACCATGGTATCATGCTGCGACGATTGGAGGGGTTGGAAGTGGGGGCACCGTGTTGCGGTGGTTCTCCTCCTTCCTCTCCGACCAGTCGCAGTCGGTGTTGGCAGGGGGGCAGAGGTCGACCCCAAGGCGCCTTGTATGTGGGGTGCCACAGGGGTCGGTCCTCTCGCCCCTTCTGTTCAACATTTATGTGAAGCCGCTGGGTGAGATCATCCGTGGTTTCGGGGAGAAGTACCATCAGTATGCTGATGACACTCAGCTGTACATCTTAACCCCGGGCCACCCCAATGATGCCCTTGAAGTGATGTCCCGGTGCCTGAAGGCTTACGGATCTGGATGGGGAGAAACAGACTCAGGCTCAACCCATCCAAGACCGAGTGGCTGTGGTTTCCGACGTCCCGATATAGTCAGTTGGTGCCATCACTGACTATTGGGGTGAATCGTTGGCCCCCACGGAGAGGGCTCGCAACTTGGGCGTCCTCCTGGACTCACGGCTGTCTTTGGAAGAGCATTTGACGGCTGTGGCCGGGAGGACTTTTTATCAGGTCCTCCTGATCCACCAGTTGCGTCCCTTTCTGGATCGGGACCCTTATGTATGGTCACTCATGCCCTCGTCACTTCCCGCCTGGACTACTGCAATGCTCTCTACATGGGGCTCCCCTTGAGGAGCACCCGGAGGCTCCAGCTGGTCCAGAATGTGGCCGCGCGGGTGGTTATGGGAGCGACGTGGCGTTCCCATGTGACTCCTCTCCTGCGCGAGCTGCACTGGCTCCCAGTGGTCTTCCGGGTGCGCTTCAAGGTTTTGGTTACCACCTTTAGAGCGCTCCATGGCCTAGGACCGGGGTATCTACGAGATTGCCTTCTGCCACCAGTAGCCTCTCACCGACCAGTACGCTCCCAAAGAGAGGGGCTCCTCCGGGTGCCGTCGGCCAAACAATGTCGACTGGCGGCCCCCAGGGGGAGGGCCTTCTCTGTGGGGGCACCTACGATCTGGAACGAGCTCCCCCCGGAGATATGGACGATCCCGGATTTACGCACCTTCCGCCGTGCCCTCAAGACCTTTTTATTTCAACAGACTGGCCTGGCCTAACTTCCCTTTTAATTGTTAATTTTAAATTTGTTTTAAAACAATGGGGGGTGTTTTAATTTGTTTTGGGCCAAATTATTTAATGTGTTTTTACATTGTCTTTTAAAATTTTGTATTATGTGTGTTTTATCTTTTGGCTGTTCACCGCCTTGAGCCCTTCGGGAGTAGGGCGGTATATAAATTCAATTATATATAAAAAAAATAGAAGAACAATACAAAACAAAACAAACTGAATATATATATCT